TTCTATGGAAACTTGTTTCCGCCACTGAATAAAAAAGAAAGAAGGTAATTGGAGTAGGGCTGGGCGATAAAACGATAACGATATGTATCGCGATAGACACGTGATCGATATCAATAAAAAATGTGTTCGATAAAACGTTCGATATTTTTTTTCTTCGTCGGAAGAAACCACAGGTTGCGAAGCTTGGTTGCATTATCAAGGCACTCGCTCTCTGGTAACCTAGCAACGTAGGGAGTGACACGCTCAGGCAATCATGTAACGTGTCAGTTTGGTTGCGCCATCATACTCCGTCATTTTGTTAATACAGGACATCATTCAGTCTGCAAAGTGTTTACTTCTATTTGTGTAGGCCTATACTCGCAATAAAACACAACATTGTGCTTTTGTCACACTGTATTTCTTGTCAAACTGTAACCTGCAACTGTCACACACCGTTTTAAAAGCAAAACATATTTATCCAACCCCTTTGTAAAACAGTCTGTGTGTTCCATCTTTTGGACATTCATCATTTCGCATTGGTTTTCATTTCTTGTCCTCAAAACAGAGCACTATATGTTTATTTTTAAGTTACACGTTGATTAAAAAAGAAAGTGAAATGTGTTGGTAGATTATTTTATACGGAAATCAATTATTTATAATTCTGATGAGAATAAAGTTAGGGTTAATTAAAATTAAGGAAAACAAATATATTGATTTGAAATATAGCAAATTAATTTTAAATTCATTCAGGTACAATTACCAAACATATCTCATATCTATCTTTTTATTAGTTAATAAACCAATTATATAAAACTATTATCAGTGCACTATAAATAAACTGGTTCTATGCCTTTATTAATAAAACTTATTTAAAAAATACAAGGCTTAAGACATTTATAAAAATGCCTTCTATATTTCTGTTTTGCTTTTCACTCCATTGTACCGAAATCGTACCGAACCGTGATGTCTCAAAAAAAAAAATCAAGCAGGGGGCACATACGATCACAAACCCCCACCACCCACGTCCCGCCGCGCCACTGTCACCTTTTTTACTCTGAGGAGTTTGCAGGTCTGATTGTGAATTTAGACTTATGTTTACATTTTAATTATTTGAGTTTTCCATGGTTGTGTTGACATTTCTGTCTTGGGATTGTAATCAGAGGAAGGTTAAGTTTAAAATAAAAATGTTTAAATGTAATATATTTTTTCTCCTGGTCCTTATTTTAAATGGGTCATAAAAAAATCAATAATTATCGATATCGACCGATATGAAACACTGATATCGTGATACAGTTTTCAGCCATATCGCCCAGCCCTAAATTGGAGTTTATATCTCACAATTTTGACTTTTTTTTATCATAATTGTGATATAAACTCACAATTTTTTCTCAGAATTGTGAGATATAAACTCGCAACTGTGAGAAAAAAAGTCAGAATTGCAAGAAAAAGAAGTCAGAATTGCAAAGACATCTCATTTATATCTCATTGTTTGCAGATAAACAAACAAACAAACAAATAAAAAACATTTTTCTCGAATAATATTATTCTTTATTCCACAAAAGGAAAGTCAATTAAATGTAATGAAAATGAAAAATTAAATAAAGATTATTTAAAATTATTAATATCATCTAATATTTTTGCAAATACCCAATATTTTGTGTGTAGAGACCATGTGAGTAATTCATACAGAAAAAAATTAATGCTTTATTGACAATTATACTTTTATAAATTATACATTTTTATGGAATTATTTGAATTTTATTTTATTTGAATTTCTCCTTCAAATGACAAATCTCCGACATGTTTGCCGCCTCGTGCATTCTCAATTAAAATCTGAATGGTTCATGATCCTCGTGGGTGCTGAACAAAAATGTATTTTCCCACACTGGTTGAAGTGAATATATTTGTTCCCAGTTTCATGATTAAATTTTTTTTGGACTTCAGAGTAATTTTTAAAATTGCATTTCATTTTTGTCAACTCATTTTTTGATCAATTGTGTCATATTCCACAGAGACGGGCCATCTGAGCTGCTCTTTTGCTCATGGTCTCTGTGGATGGATCCAGCACAGAGAGGGAGATCTTCACTGGGAGACGACTGCAGATCCTTCAGGTATTATGGGGTTTTTCTATCAAATGTTATTGGGTCAATGGCAAATAAGAATTTCTCAGATGAAGAAAAGAAAAAAATAATGAAAAAGTGCTTCAGGTGATGATATAAAGAAGCACATTCACACATCATCAAAAACGATGATAAAAAGAATGTTTTTCAAGGTTCACTTTTTCCCCTTATTTTTTTAATTATCATGCATTTTTGAATATTGTTGAGATATCAACCTAAACTAATCTTACCGTTCCATAAAAAAAGTTATTATCCCCTTGAAATTATATATTAAAGAGACTTCTTGAGGGTCTTGAATGTGATGCCATTTCCTGTTTTATTAATAAAAGATTACCCCAAAAGATTCTTATTTTTTTTCCAATCAAGAAATTCAACCTTTTAGGGGTCGTTAACACGACACCGTTTTGAAGTAAAAACAGAACTTTTTATACGGTTTGGCCGTTTATTTACACGAAAATGGCGGTTTAGGGGACTGAAAACACAAACTTTTGAAAACGGGTTTCAAAATGCACGTTTTTGAAACCGATACCGTTATCTGTGTAAACTACAAAAACACCAGATTGTGAAAACGGTGACGTCATACTCATGCAATATTACGTGTTCAGTGTACAGGCGCGTAGTTTTTCTTTACAAAGTGACATCGCCAACTACTGGCCTGGCAGCAGAATACAGAGTTTTTAATCGTTTTCGCGGATCATCTGAGCGCGAAAAAAGGAAAGGAAAAACGTTTCCGTTGTTAGTACGTTGTTGTCATGTAATCGTACACTTAATTAGCTTTTTTTAGTTTACCATGCCGTGACGTTTTTATTTTTAATTGCACACAGTTATATACATACAGTATATATTTACGTATTTATTCATTCTTATACATGGTTTGTTTAATCAAGTTAAGGTCCTTGCGCGTTTTTTTCGTATTCTTCATTCCGTGGCTCTGAATTGTCAAAAAAACTCTCAAAATGCTTTCTACGGATGCGAAAAACGCAGACTATCGAACCTGATCCGAATTTTTTTATGACGGATGGAACTTTCGTAGGCAGTGTTTAAGCGTGATTAGAATAACACGAGGTCGTATTGATTTTTTTACGTGCGAAAAGTTCGGACGTGCAAGAGTGTGCAAGGACCTTTAGACTTGTTTTTTAGGTATCTGCCTGTAGCAGATTATATTTAATATGTATTCTGTGCACACTGTGATTTTATGTAAACTGTTTACGTGACTCTACGGACAAATAAAGTGTTTTGAAATTGAAATTGAAATGCATGTAATCAGCTTGTCTCCGCCATGATCTCTTCGGCAGGTGGGCGGTACCTAACGATCTCTGAGGGCGGGGAGAAGCGAGGTGGGCGTGGCGCTCAGCTGATCCTCCCCCTGACGACGCCCTGGAACGAGGGGAACCTGTGCCTGGCCTTCAGACACAACATGGTGGGCCACCACGTGGGCATGCTGCAGGTGTTCGTACAGAAGGGACGGCAGCACAGCCCCGCGGTCTGGGGTCGAACGGGAGGAAACGGCTGGAGGTCCACGCAGATCACCATTTGGGGCAATGGCCTAGAAAGTGTAAGCGTCAACACTGAATACACTCACATCTGTGAATGTCTCGAAAGGTTTCACCAAGGTGTTATTTGAATTATGTCACTACAGGTGATCGTGAAGGGCGAGCGGCGGAGAGGGCGTAAGGGCGAAATAGCTCTGGACGACGTGAGTCTCAAGCGAGGTTCTTGTCAGGAAGAGCACAATCTGAGGAGACTTTAACACCGACAACACCACGAACAGAGACTTTTAACGCCAGCTTTACTCACGGGACTCTAGGAAGACGGACACCTTACGGAAAGGGACGTGGCTTCCTGTCAGTCCCGGTGCGGTTATGGGTGCACTTCCCCTGGCCTTCCTCAATGGCTACAAGTGCATGTGCTCAGTTGAGTGCTGTAGGGACGACGTATTTTTGTAGGCCAAAACCCCGAAACAAGTTAGCATTTTAGCACGTCCGGTTCCATCGTTTCAAAGTCAATGGGTTTTCTGAATGGATTAAATGTGGTTAACAAAAGCTCAAGATATTTTCATGTTTTTTTCTACAACATAAAGTACATCAGTAAATACATCCTTGTGATATTTTAAAAGCTTTTGTCTTGGAAAAAGGTGGTTGCTAACAAGTGGCTAATTTTTTTTGTTGGGGGGGCATTAAACATCACCGTGCCGAACAGGTAACTCATCTATACACGACCCAGCTAAGAGGGAATATTCTCAGAACTTCGGCTCAGTTTTACTTAACTATTTCCCTGCCGTTGACGGAATTTTCCAACTTTCTGTTTTCAACTTTTCACTGTTATACGGTAGGGGGCGCTGTTACGCATCTTCTGAAAGAGAACTTAATCTCCGGAAACAAAACACAGGCGAAAAGAAGCAGAAACAAGCGATAAAAGCATTGCTCATGCATGTTGTAGTCTTTGAAAAAAAACTTGATTTTCTCAGCTTTTTGCTCAAAATGTTGCTTTTTTATGAAACTGTGGAAGCTTGTTCCACCACCGAATAAAAAATAAGGGGTAATCGCAACTTTTCATCTCACAATTCTGACTTTATAACAAGCAATTGCGAGTTATAAAGTCAGAAATGTGAGATATAAACTCGCAAAAAATTTTCCCTCAGAATTGGACTTTATAACACGCAATTGCGAGTTTATATCTCACAATTCTGACTTTATAACACGCAATTGCGAGTTTATATCTCACAATTCTGACTTTATAACACGCAATTGCGAGTTTATATCTCACAATTCTGAGAAAAGAAGTCAGAATTGCAAGATACAAACTCGCAATTGTGTTATAAAGTCAGAACTGCGAGATATTTACTTGCAATTGCGAGAAAAAAGTGAAGACTGAAAGAGTTAGTGACGGTGATGTTGAAGTCATGTGACCGTTTAGCTTTTTACTTCTGTTGATTGTATTAAGGCTTCAAAATTCCCAAAAGTTTTATTCATTTGTGAAGATTATCATGATGAACAAAACGCGTACGAATCATAACCTTTCATTGGATTTTCACAGAGCTTATTTTCTGCAATAATCCTAAAGCCAATGGAAAAAAATCCTATAGGGTTTTTGGTAAGGGAACCAGAGTAATGACTTACAAAAATATGTCATCACTGCAGCACTCAGTTGGATGAGATGTCGAAAATGTCAAAGTCTGAAATGTTTTTTTTTTTACATTTTAATTTTGTAGATGTCCAATTTGTCTCCCACCTCAAATCTTTTTGTCAAACTGTCGAGCAGACGCCATCGTTCGTGCCATTGTAAATGTAAGTTGCCCAGTTCGTCACCCGAATGATGATGATGTCCTTTCAAAATCCCCTTTTCAATTTGACCGACGTGATTTGTTAGCCCAGTTTGCAGCTAATCTGAGTGACTATTTTTGGTGTATTATTGTAAATGTATTCAAACTTGTGTATATATATATAAATATATTTCAAACATGCTTTGTAGGTGCACATATATGTGAATTCTTCATCGTATAAGTGATGCAGGACAATGTTTACATCACACGACCCAGTATTTTATTGACGTATATTGTTAAGTACAAACAAGTAAACAGTTCTGAATTTTTCTTATTAATGGCTGTATCAGCCATCCTTTATGATCATCACAACGACTGTATGTTGATTATGAAAGATCTTGGTTTAATATTCAGATGAAGCAACGACCTCCAGACATTAAAAGGTGTGAACATGAAATTTATGTCTTGTATTTTTTACTCTTGTTGGGGAGTAATAACTTAATATCAGAGCAGCTTTTTAAGTAGAGTTTGAGGTTTTTGTCATGTTGTTTTGCACACACAGCTTTAATTATTAACCAGCTCTCCTAAACTATCTTATCTTTCATTTGAAGAACTGGGAAGTCAAATTCTATTAGTGAATCAGATTGGATGCTGCAAATAAATGAACCAAACGATTTGCCTTTTAATTTGATTCCCTGGGACGATGCTTGCACAGCACTTTATATTGTCTTTTTATAGCATATATAGTTTATTAATTATGGAGTTTTCTAGTCATATTAGTGGTATTTAGTGTAAATCGATCTGTTCAGATAATACCGTCACCCTCATTGAAACCCTCTTTGCTTTTGCGTCAGAGAAAAATTGTCCTGACTAATGGAGTCTGAAAAACACCAGGCCCTCATTTATGAAACGTGCAGAACAATTGTGTTAATCGGTCAAAAAAGCTTTCTTGTGTGAAGTGATTGCATTCAATTCGAATAATGATTTGCACAGAAATGTGTTTTTGCTTGTGTTTTCCATTCATTGAACAAGGCCAGTTTAATTCTTTCTACTCTTTCCATCTAATGGCCTTGATATGAACCAATGAAACTCCTTATAGAAGCAATTTAATAGAAGTCCCATTGTAAATAATACTAACACTTGCATTTTAAATGGCAGTTTTGAGATAATAACCTTGGTACATTCAACTGTAATTTAAAGAAATGAACGTTTTCTTACTTGCTGCTGCTTTAGCCTGGGAAAACCGAGACAACTTCCAGCAAATTTAGATTTGCTCTGAAAGTTAGTCTGGCAAAGAACTCATTCAAGCTCATTTCCAATCCGCCGAAATTGAGGCACCAATCAGAAACGTTGGGGCGGGCTTTACACGATGACGACAGCGCTGGGATTTTGAAGCAGATTTTGTAGCCTTAATTACAAAGATGGATGCCGCCGTCGAACATCACTCGTTCCAATCAGCTATCGCGTCTGTTTTAAGCGATTTGAACGTTTCCTTTTTGTTAAAAACCGAGCAAAGAACAACACTCGGAGACATAGCCTACCTGTCAAGTATCCCGTTTTGGCCGGGAAAGTCCCGTATTTTACCCTTCTTTCCCGCCGTCCTCCCGTATTAGGATTTTCCCGTAAATCTCCCGTATTTTAACCTGCGTTATTAAAAAATAATAATACCCCGTGCGGAGTAAAAAAAAAAAAAAAAACATTCCCAATCTGAGCTCTGTCACTAGCCTCGCGATAACTACAGGTAACGTTACTGTAGGTGGCAGTTGTCGCGAGGTTAGTGTGTGAGGTCAGATCATGAGTGACAACGCGGGGAAAACAGAGACGGATGATGGACGCTATGACAGAGCAAGGCACTACTGTCAAAAAACCAAAACCAAAAGCCTCATGTACTAGTAAATACCGCGATCGATCAATGGGATAGCGAATGTACTTTTCTGAAGAGGAGCAGGGTGGGGGACAGTCACGCGTTTTGTAAGTTTTGTAACTGCTACTTTAGCATCTCACACGGGGAAGGAATGATGTATGTCAGCACGAGAAAGGTTGTTTTAGCATGGTACGAAATATTGTTACAGAGAATAGGATGACGTTAGACAACAGAACTGTTTGCTCTACTCTCATGTAAAATTAACCACTCTGGCCCAGCCCACAATACACTCCTTCCAAAACAGTTAATACAAAGTCTGCAACAAATTTGTTCAATAACTCACTAAAAGAGTAAAGAAAAGAAAAACTGCAAATGAAAAGAAAAACTGTAAAAGAAAAGCTATATGAAATGAAAATAATGTGTGGAATGAAAATAAAATGTAAATGTAAACCATCAATGTTAAATGAACAGAAAATAGGCAAATAAGCCTTTAAATAAATGCTCTTAATATATACCCTATATATACCATACATATACATATATATATATGGTGTGGTGGGACTGCTCGCGGTGGGCGCTGGAAAATTTCCCTTATTTTCAAATCCAAAACTTGACAGGTATGCTCGGAGATGTTTCTCCCCCGCTCGCGAATTTTTTTTTTGCAGGGTGGTAGGGGAAGAATCATTAATATTCATTGGGGAACTCATCCGCAATGGGTTCGCTGTCACACGTCACTCAGATTGACATGGCAGGTCAAGACGGTGTCCCCGCAAAGATACAGAAGTTCGCGAAGTTCGTGAGCGGTCTCCGCACAAATCTCCCGGATTTGGATAACCAAATGTTGACAGGTATGACTTACCTTCGTGAAAGTGTCTGTTGTCACGAAGGAGACGATGTCTGTTTTCTCTATCACATCTCATTAGAGATGCGTCACGGCGAGCCAATCAGGGACGAGTTCCCCAATGAATATTAACGAGTCTTCCCCTACCACCCTGCAAAAAAAAAAAATCGCCCCCCGCTCTGCATACGTCATTTCCTTCATCGCTCTGATTGGTTTTAGGTCTATCCGCGACGTCCGTTGGAAATGATTTGTCTATGACGCTTTGCCAGACCATAACTCAGTTACAACTGAGAATGGTCTGGTTTTAACCAGGCTAATGCTGCTTACAAATATATTTAAAACGAGACATTTCTAATCTAAACCACTATTGTGGTAGTTGTTTTAAATAATATTAATGAAAACATAATATTTGTTATAATTATTTATTAAGATATATAATCTGGGGGCCATGAAACTTTTGTGAAAATGATCAAAAATGGTGGCAGTGGCTTAGATTAGTCTTGCACATTACAACCATTACGAGAGAATGATGAATGTTGTTATATATTTTCCTTTATGCTTTGGGGCCGGGTAGCAATGAGGTTCAAAATCCAGCAGTTATCTAAAATATCAATTTTATTGATCCCCAAGGGGAAATTGGAAAATAAAATAAGCACATTTTCCTGTTGAAACGGCAGCAGTCACCTCTAGAGACATGGCTTTGCATTCAGTGGAAGTGAAGAATGTACTTTCAGTGGCAACTTTATTTGGTGCACTAACCTGACTTTAATAACTCCATATTTTTCCTCCAGCAAAGCCTGAATACGTGCATAATGGAAACATTTTGCCAGCACCGTCTGGTCCGTTCTGATTTGTTAGCACCAGACAAGTTTTTCCATCTCATCCTCGCAACACCGTATTGGATTGAAAACTGAAAGGTCTCGCTACATCCGTGGAAGCAGATAAAGGTGTTTTTTAACATGACATTTAATGTTAAAGTTCAAATCAAATATACATCTCTCATTTCACTCCAAACCTGTGCGAAGTTTCTTTCATCCATGGAACACAAAAGATGCTATGCAAAATGTCCTGCCAGTTTTACCCGTTAAAAAAAAAAGATGCCTCGAGGCAACAAATTAGAATATAAATGAGAAGCAAATAAGATTTTCAACTAATAATGATTCAAGTTTCAGTTTGTTCCTTTACAAACAGCTTCGGTTCCCCTCATCACTTGCATTGTGTGCCAAAAGTAATTTTTAGCACATTATGCAAAATATCTCATTCTGTGTTCTACACAACAAACTCATGCAGGTGTGCATCGACATGAGGACATCATAATCATAAATAAATGATGACAGTTTTATTTTTCTGGGTAAACAATTTCTTTTGCGGAGCTTAATGTCTGCCAAAAAACATCCCATCCTATTTTTTACCACCATTTAGGTTGTACTTTTGACTCAAAATAGGAAGCATCCATGGAATGAAGCCATCTATACATGCATGCTACATTTTATTAAAGGTCTTGATCTGGCTAGGTTTTCATGTTTGAATGTTCATAAAACATTATTTTTCACTTATTTGACATTGTTGCAGCACCTCTCTTCTCAGTCTGTCAGTAACGCTCTGTTTAGTTCCTGTCTCTATGAAGCTCCTCCTTCTGAAAAGCACACTGTGCTCTGATTGGTCGGCTGGATCAGTGTGTTGTGATTGGTCAACCGCTTCCAGCCTGTTTGGGAAATGTCACGCCCCTTCCCATATAAGCGTGAGTTTCAGCACACTACTATCACAACTTAATCAGGCCTCGCACCTTTATTTTACGTTTGCCTTGGTCGAGAATTATTTAAATGAGGAATATTGTGACGGAAGAAAACTCAAAACTACAATGAATGCATTTCAGGGAGTTCAGAAACAGTGCGCACTGATATAGAGAATAACTCTTTGCAACTTTGCAGACACAAAAGAAAGCTAAAAATGTTTAAAAAAAAAAAAGAAAAAGAAAAGGCCAGGAATGTATTTTCCACAGACTTCAAATATCCAGTAATCCACTATAGCTTCTCTTCCTGTTCTTAACTGACAGGACTGGAACCCACAGTGCATTTCTGATTCTACAAGCCCATTCACATCAAATGACGTGCTGCGTTCGAAGAAAGCCTTTGCACACTAATGTGGTTATTTACATTTTCCAGACCTTTTTGTCAGGTTGGATTGGTCTAGACATTAAGTAGGCGCCTTTAACTCACAGAATATCATCCACCGGTTTTCATAACTTTCTCTGGAAGTTTTTTTTTTTGGACAATGTAGGTGCCTGAAAATGTCCCCATTAAACCCTCTTCGCAACCCATTTTTTCTTCTGTACTGGGCTGGCACAAATTTCAGAGTGAAACAGGATATTCGATAAGAGAAAATGTGGACTTCACATTCATCAACATGATCCAATATCCAGTATCTAAGGCTGCATTTACACTGCAGGTCTTGATGCCCAAATCCGACTTTCTGACTATATCCGATTTTTTTGACGACCCGCTTACATCATCTTTTAAGTGACCCGTATCCGATTTTTGCATTTACACTATACACTGCTGAAACTACCAAATGTAGACGTTCTGACCCGGAAAAGGAAGTAAAACAGCACGAAATACAATGGATGCAGATGCGAATAAAATTATCCAGTGTTTTGCTTTCCACAATATTTTTAAAAATCATTAAGCTTTTTATCTTACGGTGGCACTGTAGCCTCGAGCGCTTAAAACCGTGCCTCCCCATATCTCGTGAAATGTCTTCAAACACGGATTTATTTCTGTAACAATCCTGCATTTTTGCCTGCACTACTGTCTCTTCGCCCCAAACACTCAAAAGACATGAAACCTCCGCATTGCTCCACTGTGTGTATCCTTCGTCCTCCATCACGCCTATAATAAGTCATGTGATCTCAGTTGGTGGTGTCCACCTGAGTTGACGTCACTTTTTTAATGACGTACGACACGCATTTACTGGGCAATATCCCGGGAATATCCGATTTGTCTGCTTACATGGCACACGCAAATGCACGTATCCGATTCATATCCGATTTATTACCACATATGAGTGAGGCCTGAGTTTTTTTTTCCTGCTTACACGTTCATGGGTCATATCCGATCTGTGCCACATGAGAGGAAAAAATCGGATTTGGGTCACTTGAACCATGCAGTGTAAATGGGGCCCAATAGTCAGAACTCGAAACGTCCTCGTTAGTCCAAAAACAGCTTTTATTGAATTCAAGCTCAGAAAACGACTAGTTTGGAATTTTGTCACATTATGACGCAATAGTGCGACAAAAGACCGACTCTGCAGAATCAAAACAACACCTACTTCTGAGTCTAAATATAATGCTATAATCAACACTTTTCACGATTAGTTAATCTTGACAGCTGTAACAGTAAAAGATTTCAAAAGAGTTCCACATGTAATACTTATTTCATATGCAAAGATGTTAGCCAATCACAGCAGTGGGCGTTTACACTGAAGTCTCACAGCAGACACGCCCCTTCACACCAGAGGCCAAAATTAGGGTAGAAAATGGCCTTTTATTTCTAAATTATGAAATTTTTTTGGTGTAAAAATCATGCTAATTTAATAAGTGCACCTCAGGAAACATAAAATATATTTTTTTAAATGCAGTTCATGACCCTTTTAAGAATCAAGTAAACAGTTTAATAAATATGAAAACAGGAATTTTCAATTTAGTGACTTTTGAGAAATGAAACCTACAAGTAAGGCTTTTATGACAACAGCTGTAGTAAAAAACAACAACTTTATTCGTGTTGATTGGTTTGGTCCCAGAAGCTCAAACAGCTGTGTGCATTTTTCAAGTTCAAACTTTTCAGTGCTGACATGCATAATGCCTTTCAGGACCTGTTGACGTGGTTTCGAAGAAAAATGTTTTATCTGAGAAATGTATTCACGTCTTGCACCATGTAAATGACATTCAAACAGTTTCCCTTTATCAAAGCACACACTGTTATATCTGCGGAGATGGGACAGTTAACAGGCCTGTGGACTTCATCTTGTTCATGCCACCATCCAAGACACAAACCCGAGGGAAATTTACTTTCACCAGGTGAGCAGCAAACTACAGGAGAAAAGGAAGTAAACGTGTGATTATGATTATTATTCATTTTTATGCATATCGCAGAAGGCTAGTATAAAGCGACTTGCAGTGAATGCATTTAACAGTGCATGCGTTTCCTAAAAAACATCAACAGACGGATGAAATAACCTTACCGTGGTAGCATTCTTCATGATGTTGCTGAGGATCACGATGACACGGAATCTGTATCCGGCCAGGGTGCTGGTGGCGGGACACTGGAGCAGTTCTCCCTCCGGCCCAAACGTGGAGGTGTAGGGAATGTTAATGCTACCTGGGATGTGACCGCGACTGAAGCTGCACACGGGCGGTCAAAGGGTCATACGGCTGCATTCATTTGATCAAAAATACAGTACAAACGGTAATATTGCGAAAAACCATTATAACATAAAATAACTGTTTTCTATTTTTTTATTTGTTTAAAATGTTATTTATTCCTGTGATGCAAAGCTGATTTTTTTTGCATCATTACTCCAAGTCTTCAGTGTCACATGATCCTTCAGAAATCATTCTGCAATGATGAACTGAAGTGACGTCGCCAGTCTTGGTCACTTGTCTGTTGCCTGTCTATCAGTTTCTCTGTAATTGTCCATAAGAGTCAATAAACAAAAAAAAACCCATCTCATACAGTCTGTAAACTGTTGTGTTAGCAAGCAAACGACTGACACGTTTGTATTACATTCCAAAGAGCGGCCGTTATCAGCCTCACAGTGGAAAATGAAGCCATATCCGTACCAGCTAGGCCGGATCGGCACGGAACGGAAAGGTTAAGCAACGAGAACGGTGGAAAAGCGGCTAATGTTGAAAACAGTTGTGCTGCTTAATATTTTTGAGGAAACCATGAAAATGGTGCAACTGGGAATGCTATGGAAGCTTGTTTCCGCCACAGAATGAAAAATAAAATAAAATAAAACTTTTTATCTCACAATTCTGACTTTTTTTCCTCACAATTGCGAGTTTACATCTCGCAATGCTGACTTTATTTCTCAGAATTGCGAGATATAAAGTCAGAATTGCGTGATATAAGTCAGAATTGCGAGATATAGTCAGAATTGCGTGATATAAGTCAGAATTGCGAGATATAAAGTCAGAATTGCGTGATATAAGTCAGAATTGCGAGATATAAAGTCAGAATTGCGAGATATAAAGTCAGAATTGCGTGATATAAGTCAGAATTGCGTGATATAAGTCAGAATTGCGAGATATAGTCAGAATTGCGAGATATAAAGTCAGAATTGCGTGATATAAGTCAGAATTGCGAGATATAGTCAGAATTGCGTGATATAAGTCAGAATTGCGAGATATAAAGTCCAAATTGCGTGATAGAAGTCAGAATTGCGTGATATAAGTCAGTATTGCGAGATATAGTCAGAATTGCGAGATATAAAGTCAGAATTGCGTGATATAAGTCAGAATTGCGAGATATAAAGTCAGAATTGCGTGATATAAGTCAGAATTGCGTGATATAAGTCAGAATTGCGAGATATAGTCAGAATTGCGAGATATAAAGTCAGAATTGCGTGATATAAGTCAGAATTGCGAGATATAGTCAGAATTGCGTGATATAAGTCAGAATTGCGAGATATAAAGTCAAAATTGCGTGATAGAAGTCAGAATTGCGAGATATAAAGTCAGAATTGCGTGATAAGTCAGAATTGCGAGATATAAAGTCAGAATTGCGTGATATAAGTCAGAATTGCGAGATATAAAGTCAGAATTGCGTGATATAAGTCAGAATTGCGAGATATAAAGTCAGAATTGATTGATATAAGTCAGAATTGCGAGATATAAAGTCAGAATTGATTGATATAAGTCAGAATTGCGAGATATAAAGTCAGAATTGATTGATATAAAGTCAGAATTGATTGATATAAAGTCAGAATTGATTGATATAAAGTCGCAATTGCGTGTTATAAAGTCAGAATTGTGAGATATAAACTATTTTGAGAGGGAAAAAAGTTAGTCTTTTATTTTTCCTTAGAATTGGCCTGATAACTCGCAATTGCGAGTTTATATCTCACAATTCTGAGAAAAGATGTCAGAATTTTGAGATATAAACTCGCAATTATGTGTTAAAGTCAGAATTGCGAGATGTAAACTCGCAATTGTGAGAAAAAAAGTCAGAATTGTGAGATAAAAAGTCTCAATTCTGTCTTTTTTTCTCGCAATTGTGACTTTATTTCTCAGAATTGTGACTTTATTTCTCAGAATTGCAACTTTATTTCTCAGAATTGCGGCTTTATATCTCGCAATTGTGAGATAAAAAGTCGCAATTATTATTATTATTTTTTTAATTCAGTGGCGGAAACAAGCTTCCAAAGAATGCTTACCAAATGTAAATATCATAAAAGTTGTCAAGGTAACACTTTATTTTACAGAGTCATTGTTACATATGTTACATGTAGTTACTATAGTAATAACTATAAATTATGCATAATTACATGCAACTAATCCAAACCCTCCCCAACCCTATAGTAAGTACATATAGTTACTTAATTTTACTCAGTACTTAAATATATAATTACAGTGTAACAAAGACACCTTAAAATAAAGTGCATCCGTTTTCAGACTTAAAAATATAAGTTTCTTCATCAGTATTTTGTCTTGTTTTAAGAAAACAAATATTTAAGCATCCTTAAACCAAGATAAATATACTTGAGAATCAAAATGATGAAAGAGAATAAGAATTTATCTTGAAGTATGTTTATTTTTCTAACCCTATTGCTTTTTTTTGTAAAAAAACAAAAACAAATTTACGTACAAAACCTCACAAACAATCTTAAAACAAGGAAACCATGTTCCTATTTGCCAATGATAAAACTAAGAAAAATAAGCTTAATTCAAGATACTGTATACTTTCTGAAAACAAACTATTTTTATCATTCATTTTATTATTTTTAATCATTAGGATTAGGACACTTTATTTTGATAGTCCACTTTAGACATTAACTATAAGTAACTTTGCAACTACATGTCAACTAACTCTCACTAGAGTATCAGTAGACTGGTAGGGTTAGGGTTTGGGTTAACATGTACTTGCAGAGTTACTTATAGTCAGTAAAATGTCTAAAGTAGACTATCGAAATAAGATTTTTGCAGGCTTTGATTTAGATCAAGAAGTTTGATTATTGGTTAACGCCCAGTGGCTTTGAGAGTGATTGAACTGTGTCAGATTAAACATGTGAAGACCATTATAAAGTTCAGCTCTAATGTGAGCATTACGGTGTATTCGGTGAATACCCAGGGGTTCTTTGGTATACATGTGTTGTGGTAAGACATCTAAGCAGCACGCAATCTCCTGTAAGCTCTTGAGCTGGTCGTTTGTAATTGTGTCAGGTGAAGTTCACAGGATTTACAGAACAAACCCAACACAGATCTATGGGCTCTGTGGAAACCGTCCAACTCCATCCAAAACCCACTGCAGCACTTCGAAAGAAAAGAGACAGGGAACAAAGTGCGCAGGACAAGATGAAAAATATGAGCAGAATAAAGTCCCTTGGGACATTGATTAAACATGAGCAAGACGAGTGCACGCAAGAGCAGTGTCTCAAAGAGAAGCGGAGCAGGTGAGCGGAGGGAAGGATGAGATGGGAAAAGAGAGAGAGGGCAGAGTGTAATTGAATAATAACTCTTCTTAGCTGCCTTCCTCCATAGATAAAGTTACAATCAGTGATATTTGTGCTACATCTTTCAATAAAAACGAGTGGAACTTCTCGGAAACATTTAACAAGACCTTTCTCCATTTCTCAAGAGGATGAGAAAACGTTCATGCAGATTTTAAACGGGCCTTAAAACAGAAAGGGCTTTGTCTAACATTCATATCAAATATTGATATGGCCATAAAAGGTACAGAATACAAAATGAGAGAACTACATCACCTGCGCTGCAGCTTTCACATTGAGTTTTCCCTGAAAGCCTATATGTATTATGATTGCTCTTAACCTGCTTGTGTACGCTATCGTGTATACTTACAGCTGCACTAATGGAAACGGTGACAAACCTCTTAAAACAAATTAACCACAGTAATGCTCTCCCACACATTCCACAGGGCCTTCACTACTAGCAACAGACAACAACCTGTCTTTAGGCTCTGACTTTTTGGCATCAATTAATAGGATTTTTACATTATCTACTTAAGAGTTTAGCCAACTTCTAAATGAATCCTTTCATACAATGAAACGCAAGTATGGAAACTCTGCAAGTACATTACAAATAGATTTTTTCACTTCTGAAAGAAAATCTGAGTGTGTCTGGAGTTGGCCTGACCATTTTTTTCTACATTTTTCAATGTCTCTAACATCAATGTTTTGATGTTTAACTTTGGCTTTCAGGGGCCATATACATAGACGGCAAAAAATCCTGCTCTAAAAAGGAAAACTAGACAAAAATACTATCTATATATAAAATACTATTAATATCTTACAAATAAAGAGACATTTATACTTATACTACCGATAAAATCTTTGGGGTAAGATTTTCAAGATTTTATTGAAAAAAAGAAATACTTTTATTTAGCAAGGACACACTAAATTACAGAAGAGGATTAGGGCCAAGCAATAAAAAAATAAAATAAAACCATTTTGAGATTAAAGTCATTATAATGCGAAATTAATCTCGAAATTTAAGGAGTTTTTTTCTCAAAACACAACGACTTTATTCTCGATATTTAATGAGTTTATTCTCAAAATTGTATTACGAACTTTTTTCTCAAAATTGAATGAGTTTAATCTCGCATTATAATGACTTTAATCTCGAGATGGTTTTATTTCTTTATTATTGCTTGGCCCTAATCCTCTTCCGTACTAAATTGATCGGTAAGAAATTAGGAAAAAAGGATTTGAATTTCAAATAAAGGCTGTTCTATTGAACTTTCTATTATTCAAAGAATCCTGAAAATATGTAACATGCTTTCCACAAAAACATTAAGCAGCATATCTGTTTTCAACATTGATAATAAAAATAAATGTCACGCGACACTGAAGACTGGAGTAATGATGCTGAAAATTCAGTTTAACCATCACAGGAATAAATGAACAATTTTATAAATTTAATAGTTTTTAAAATGTAATTTAAATTGTTTTACTGGTTTTACTGTATTTTTAAATAATTTTCTTAAAAAATAGTTTTTGCAGTCAAAATAAAGACTAAAAGGATACTCTTCAAGGCTTCGGATGTCCACTGCCAGGATCTTGGGTTTCCCAGTCCTGGCCCTCTTGGCAGGAGTTTTAAAGCAAGCCGGTCCACTCAGCTCACACAGGTCAATGAGGTCTTCCACAGAGATACGCGGAGACACTTCTGCTTTCAGCTCGCTCAGCTTTAGTGGCTCGCGGCTCTGAGGGTGCAAAGAAATGAGTGGTAAAACAACAGACTTTTTGCAGCAGTGAGTGGTATTTAAAAAAAAAAAATGTGTGAGAAAATGATGTGTGGGTTGAAATGTTATCCTGTGCAAGTGTTGAGCAGGAAAAACAGTGAAGAGTCATCGAGTACATTCAAAGAAAACACATGCATATGTTCAATTCCTGCATCCTGCACCCTGATGATACTGGTATCCCTCAAGGATCTGTACTCAGTCCGATACTATTCTCCATTTTATAAAATGCATGGCTTTTTTTTTTTCTCACTGCCATGTCGACAGAAGTCAGGGCTACTTTTAATGCCTCTATCTGTTTTCACCTATGTGATCTCATATCCCTCGGACATCTCAACCTGAATGAATAATCAACACCTCAAGCTCAACCTGTCAAGACTGAACTGCTGAAGATGGCTTCTACCTCAGTTTCTCTCCATCTTGGTTCAAAAAACACAGTTGTTACCCTGAGGTGAGATGACCAGCTCACATTCAGTGAACACATCAAAGCAATCACACAGGTTTGCAGCATTATGGCACATAACTCCAGAAAAAAAGTTTTTTCTTGGTCTCAACTTCCTAATCAACCTTTTTTTTTTCAGATTGTAGAGGCTGAGATTATTGCTCTTGACTCTAAACCACAAGTAAAAACAAAGCCAACTGTGTTTAGATGTAAGTCAGACGGTCTTTTCCTGCCCAAATAGGTTGGTTTTACCTTGAAGTTAAAAGTCTGCTTTTTATTCATGCGACATCTCACCAGCCTACCTGTATGTGCAACACGACCCTTCAAGGGTATCCAAAATACTGCTGCTTAATTCACAGTTAACTGTTAGAAATTCTGCCACAAGCTGTTGGCCTCACAAGTTGCATCTTTGCTTAAGTCTACACAGGGTGCCCAAAATTGCCTGAATCTAAATCAAGATGGACTTTTTCTGGCCTACCATTGCAGCCAATGCCCTGGTCCCCCGCTACCTTCGATCCATTATCAAACTCTGTTTTTCCCAGCCCGTTTGAGGCAATTAGCTCTATCCAGTCTCCACATGCAAGGAGCACACCTGTCTGGAAATCTCTCCATCTGTGCCACATCCCGATCATTAACAGAGCAGCAAATGGACCAGTTGAACTCAAAAGGAGACTATTCATTTTCGCAGAAATATAATTTCTCCCACTCGACTAAAAAGCATAGCAATACAGCAATATCATAGCTCTAATTGGCACTTTAGGTTTGGGCACATTACATCTTTATCAGGAAGGACCAATTTAATAGGCACAATAGGAGTGGATAACATTCACTGTTCCTGCATATCTTCCCTCCACCTTAACACTTTGCCCAAATCATCAAGCAAATCATCTACAGTACCAGCAGAGAGTGGGTGGCTTACAAAAGGGGGTGGGCAGTATGACCAATCTAATATAACAATAATGATTTTTTTATTTATTTTTTCATTTTCCTTAGCAGTATTTTTATCCTGTTTTCCATTTGAAAGATAGAAATATATTCAAACATCTGCATTCCTGTAGCTCAACTGTGTTGTGTAAATTGAATGAAATGTACTTTTCTTAAGAGAAAAGCATCTGGCAATTGCAAAAAAAAAAAAGGTAAAATGAGGTAAATTAACACTCAAAAATACAATGTTCTTTATTGGGATCTATGGTTCCACGATGAACCTCCAACATCCAACAACATTTCCTTTCCATTTCCATTTCCAAGGTTCTTTAGATTTTAAACAATGTTCTTCACACTAATAAAATTGGTTCTTCTAAGAACTGTTCACTGAAAGTTTTTTTGGGGAACCAAAAATGCATTGAGACGAAATCCCCCAAAGTGTACACGAAAGTGCACGTGAGAATCAAAGCTGTATTAGATCAGAGAAACAAATATTTGAATATATTTTAAAATGTAATTTATTCCTGTGATGGCAAAGCTTCATTTCCAGCAGCCATTCTTACTCTAGTCTTCAGTGTCACCTTGATGATGATCGATGATCCTTCAGAAACAACTCTAATATTCTGATTCCATCGCAGGAATAAATTATATTTTAAAATATTAATCAACTAGAAAAGAGTTCATTTTTAATTGTAAATTTCACAATATTACGTTTTTTACTGTATTTATGCTCAAATAAATGCAATCTTGCTGAGCACAAGAGACTTCTTTCAAAAACGTGAACTACATTTTATTATTCCAAACATTTAGTGTGAGTATAAAATACATTTTCAAATTGATTTTGAAACACCAGCAGGTGCACGGCATATACGGTCATACGGCGCAGCCCTAATAACAATCCGCATTATAGCTGAATTCCACACTTCTAAGTGCAGGACTCTGAAACAAAGGGCAACAGCACAGGAAGGGCAGCGAGGTGGGGGGATATCTCGTAAATGTCAATGTTCAGTAGCCCATGAAATCAGTCCAATCAGTCACGGAGAACCAGTCTCCCACAGAGTGCAGCCAATTACCTATGAGGTCACCTTAGCAATGGAGGTAAGCTTGAGGAATGGAGGGCGGCTGATGTCCAATGGGTTCTGGTATTAAAGTCCATTAGATCCGCAGGGCTCGTGGCATTCTCATCATTGCCTAAAGGAGGCTCTTGTGCTCTGGATTCAGAAACTCTAAATGCATGCAAGAGTCTTGACCTTTTATTATCACTGGTGACATTTCAATAGGCCATACACTTGCCTGTTTGGATGCTCTGTGGGTTCACAGACGGCCAAGAGAATCAAGAGCCACAGAGCTGGTCTGATCACCAAGTCAAAATGCTAAACGTTTCATCTCAAAGCTGAAAGGAGCTGGCTTTAAAAATGCAGAAATAAATCAAATCCATGCAAACATTCCTCTGGGTATTTACGGTCTGAAAAGGATTACCAGTGCAAATCTGAAAACAAGCGTGTGTTTGAAAGGCTTAACATCTACATGACAGGTGCTGTCAAAAAATGTATGCTATCTTTTATCAAAAACGATAAAGGATGGAGATCTGGCATAAATTCAGTGGTGTGACTATGCCCTGTGGTGCGTGAGAGGCATTTAACCATCCAGCATCTGGCTGCACTGGAGCAGGTGATATGCTGCCGCACATCAGAGAGTCTCAAAACAAAGTCTGGAATCGAAATAAAAAGACAGATCCAAGACTTAAGAAATGAGACCATGGTCTGCTCGCTCTCCCCTCCTGCCCAATCAGAGCTCAGCATGGCAGCGGCGAGGCCACATACAGTAAGTGGCACCAGTCCATCGAATCAAAGCTGTTGGAATACACTACTAAAAAAAGAAAAACAGGTATTTTGTTGCACGCAAAACAATCAGCTCACATGCACGGCCATTACATTTCTGTTAAAATACGATTATCTTGTGAGGGACCCCATTCCTAAAATTTAAAGGAAGCTATATATTTTCATGTACAGTATTCAGACCCATATACTGTACTGTGTGTGATAGAAAGCATAATATTATAAAACAGAATTATTAGTTTTGTATAGTCATTGCATGTATATTTATTATTTTAAATATTAGTATGTAGTTAATTAACAGCTAGTTTTTTTTTCTACCCAATATTAGAAAATTTAATTTTAAATTCAGTTAAAATATACACTCACCTAAAGGATTATTAGGAACACCATACTAATACTGTGTTTGACCCCTTTTCGCCTTCAGAACTCCCTTAATTCTACGTGGCATTGATTCAACAAGGTGCTGAAAGCATTCTTTAGAAATGTTGGCCCATATTGATAGGATAGCATCTTGCAGTTGATGGAGATTTGTGGGATGCACATCCAGGGCACGAAGCTCCCGTTCCACCACATCCCAAAGATGCTCTATTGGGTTGAGATCTGGTGACTGTTGGGGCCATTTTAGTACAGTGAACTCGAATCATTTAAAATTGGTTTCTTGAACATGACAATGAGCTTTGTGACATGGTGCATTATCCTGCTGGAAGTAGCCATCAGAGGATGGGTACATGGTGGCCATAAAGGGATGGACATGGTCAGAAACAATGCTCAGGTAGGCCGTGGCATTTAAACGATGCCCAATTGGCACTAAGGGGCCTAAAGTGTGCCAAGAAAACATCCCCCACACTATTACACCACCACCACCAGCCTGCACAGTGGTAACAAGGCATGATGGATCCATGTTCTCATCCTGTTTACGCCAAATTCTGACTCTACCATCTGAATGTCTCAACAGAAATCGAGACTCATCAGACCAGGCAACATTTTTCCAGTCTTCAACTGTCCAATTTTGGTGAGCTCTTGCAAATTGTAGCCTCTTTTTCCTATTTGTAGTGGAGATGAGTGGTACCCGGTGGGGTCTTCTGCTGTTGTAGCCCATCCGCCTCAAGGTTGTGGGTGTTGTGGCTTCACAAATGCTTTGCTGCATACCTCGGTTGTAACGAGTGGTTATTTCAGTCAAAGTTGCTCTTCTATCAGCTTGAATCAGTCGGCCCATTCTCCTCTGACCTCTAGCATCAACAAGGCATTTTCGCCCACAGGACTGCCGCATACTGGATGTTTTTCCCTTTTCACACCATTCTTTGTAAACCCTAGAAATGGTTGTGCGTGAAAATCCCAGTAACTGAGCAGATTGTGAAATACTCAGACCGGCCCGTCTGGCACCAACAACCATGCCACGCTCAAAATTGCTTAAATTACCTTTCTTTCCCATTCTGACATTCAGTTTGGAGTTCAGGAGATTGTCTTGACCAGGACCACACCTCTAAATCCATTGAAGCAACTGCCATGTGATTGGTTGATTAGATAATTGCATTAATGAGAAATTGAACAGGTGTTCCTAATAATCCTTTAGGTGAGTGTATTTGCATGGTACTTTGCATAATAAATCAGTTTTACAAAAAAATAGTGCCGTATAATTAGTGAAAAAGTTAAAGGCAACCATGGCGAGGGAAAACGGTCTTTAAGGCTCTGTTTACACCTGGTATTAAGATACGTTTTGGTCGATTGGATCACAAGTGGACGACGCTAAATACAGGTGT